AACGCTGACAACTGCATTTTAAACAACAAAATATACCTACAAATTCATGGCAACATAATATTAAATATAATACATAATATAATGGTATTTTATCTACGCCAGTGAGATACTCATTTTGAGTGAGAGGTACAATTTATATTTACAGAGACTGTATGCAATTTATTTCTTCATTCAGATTAACACTGTTTATTGGAAAACCGGTAAAACTCAACCCAGGATTTCCTCTCGAAATACACCCAACAACACAACAAATCGATCCACGGTTTTTTTTCGATATTTTTTAACATTTTCCGGCTTTATTTTCAAAAACACTTGTTTGTAACCTAAGAGTTTGACAGCTGATTATTAAAAGTTCTACTTTTGTTACGATGATAACAGCCGAGTGGTGGCGCTACTAGCGATACTACTTTAGCGTATACCTGAAAGTATTACAGAATGAATTATTTTATCATCGGATGACGAAATAAACACTGGTGGCGACATCTCTGTGTTTAATATCTAACAAATTTAGACCGATCCAACCTCACTTTCTTCCAATTAAATTATTTGTCTATGGTATATTTCGAAAACGAAGAAAAAGTATAGTCTAAAACACGCATATTTCGTGAAACCGTCAAACTCGCCTTCGGCTTGTCTGACAAATTTTTTACTCGAATTAATTACAGAATATACCATTACCTGATAAGCGGGAGGGAATGAAAATATATACAGGGGAAGGAATAAGATTGTTCAGAGCGGGAGAAATGAATGTCATTAATTATTAAAATTGCGAATACAATCGGCGCATTATTAACCACTTGACAAAAAAATTATTATTGTTAAAAACTTCATTTATTTATTTTAATTTTTTAATTTGTGATAATGTTATCAAAAAGCAGGCGTCCCAGTGCGCTTCTAATGATATGAGTGTGGATGATATTGACCCAGTTTAAACCAATGCTTTTGAGGAAGACCGACCCGTATCTTTGTAGAGTTTTTCAATGCCGCGGCATGAAAATCATTGTCATTGCATTTATGACCTTTTTAACGAAATTATGTATATGTGTCTGCGTCATACTTTATTCATTTTTGAAGGATAATGGTGTTATAACTTAGGACCGTATATTATGAAACAAATTTTATCAACGTCATTTTAGCCATTAGTCACACTAATTAGTTACGACCGAAGCTTGGGAGCGAGTGTTTAATAAAAGCGTGTTTTTAAAAAATTTGACAACGCTGTTTATCTGAAAAGCTAAAATTTGACAAATTCAAATGTTGTTATATGGAGAAATAAGGCTGCTTTGGTTTACATGTTGTATCAAAAAATCAAAACATTAAATCTTTACTTTCTTCTTATTATAAATATTAAAATTTTATTTTTGAAACGTTAATAGAATTGTTTTTTTAGATAAATAATTATTCTTAAAACAATAAAATAATAAAAATTTTATTTTAAAAACCTCATAACTTTAAATCATAGGTAACTATTTAATTTTGAAACCAAGGCCTTGCAAGGGTCCCATTTTGGGACTCCCTGTATTGTGTATACATTGGGGTGATTCATTTCCGCAAAGTTTTTGTTTTTCTCGGTGCTCAAGCAAAATATTAATCTGCATATAGAAAAAAAAAATCTCTCCAAGTTTGAGCTCTTAATATCAATTTTAAGTACTTACTATTTAAATTTAAAGTTTAACGGTTTATTTTTTTCCTAATGCTTACCCACCTTTTACAATATTGCAAATGGGTTTGATGGACCTTGTGGGAATTTCACGCTTTTTAAAATTGCTTTGAAGTTTTTTTGTATAACTCGCAATAATAAATTAGGAACACATTGTATGGAACAAAGTTGTTTATAAACTTACAAAGTCTAAATACAAATTCCAATATTTAAAATTATTCTACATAACTACCTCCCACCTCGACTTACGTTTCCGTTAACTTAATAAATCTACCGTACACTTTATGAATAATTCGCGGCTCATTCAGTTTAGGCGCTGTTATCACCTGTCATTTGTCACCTGCCAATGCTTCTCTTGACACATGCGTATTGGCAATTTTTTATGGAAAAGATCTATACGCTAAAGAAGCATCGCCAGTGGCGCCACCACGTGGCCGTTATTATTGTAACCAGAATTTAGCTTTTAATAAGCAGCTTTCACACGCGTATATTACAAACGAGTGTTTTTGAGAATAAAGCCGGAAAATGTTAAAAAATATCTGAAAAAACCGTGGCACGATTTGTTGTGTTGTTGGATGTTTTTCGAGAGGAAATCCTGGTTTGAGTTTTTAACGGTTTCCCAATAAACAGTGGAAATCCGAATGAAGAAATAAATTGCATACATTCCTGTTAATATAAATTGTACCCAATAGATAGAATAAATACACATTAAGGTAATGATTTACGTTAAAATAGAAAACATTTCAATTCAGTCAAAATCATAAGACAAATAAGTCGTCTAAATTCAAACAGCATTTAGCATTTTTAAAAGCGTTGATAAGAAAAGCTTCCACTTAACAGTAAAATATCAAAACCGGTATTATATTATGTTACATATTTTTTTTGCCCTGAATTCGTACATATATTTTGTCGTTTAAAATGCAGTTTTCGGCGTTTTTTAGTATTTAGTTAAACATAAAAATAATTAATTTTAAGGTTATGGTTGTACAACAATTATTTTTTGTTAAATTTTTTAAAAATGTCCAATAAATATTATATTAGGTAAAGTTATTATTACTTAATTCTGCAACAACAAATATACCTACAGTGTTGGATCCTTAAAACATGAAAATGCAACGATTTGGTTCTTGAATTACATTTACAATTAAAAACACAATAATTCAACATGATCACTCAGATAAACACACTAACGTAAATACTCACATAAAAATGTTTGTTTTAGGGCAAAAAATTCATATATTTAAATACGTATACTAAATGGATAGGTTTTATATTTAAAACAAATCTATATATAATTTAGTAATTTATTTTAACTAAATCTTTGATTTATTTAAAAGATATTTTAAATTTTACTTTACGTTTATCTTAAAGCCATTATACTTTTGTTAATACTATTGCCAATAATTATGTTGAACATATGAAAACATTCATTTTAAATAGAGCAATATTCATAAAGTAACGTATTCAATTACTTAAAAGTTTATGATATTTTAAATTAGAATATATATATTAGAACAAAATAATTGCTTTCAAATATTTTAAAGTCTTGTTTTAAGATGATCATTCTTTTGAATGGGGAATATACGAAATATTTAATACAAACAATAATCGCGCATATAGGAACTAACGGTATATTTAAAAAAAATAACATATTCACAGCAAACACTACGTTTTTTGTGTGTAGGTATTTAAGCATATAAGAGGTGAGTTCAGAAAATAATGGGAATTGTTAAATTTCGCGGGTTCGGAGGGTCCGGTTGTCATAAAATTTTCTTTATTATGTTGGTATACATGCCCCCGAAGTATGATAAAAACTTTAGCTGTTTTCATTGTTTACTTTGTCTGTGGCAGCCGCTAAGGTTAGACGTGTTTTATGAGCTCGGCGATTTTTAGTTCGTTAAAAGAAATGGATCAAAGAATTTGTATCCAATTTAGCTTAAAAAATAAAACAAATTCTTTGAAATGATAACAAAGGCCTATAGTGAGTCTGCTATAAGTAAAACAAGAGTTTAGTGGTATAAGAGTTTCCAAGATGGCCGTGAAGACGTTGAAGATGACGAACGCCCCGAACGCACAAGCACATTAACAACCGATAAAAACATGGAAAAAGTGGAAGAAATGGTTATAAACCATCAGAGAAGTCGCTGATGATGTTGGTATATCGATTGGCTCATCCCATGAAATTTTTTCGAATGTTTTGGGTATGAAACGCGTGGCAGCAACATTTGTTCTAAAATTGTTAAATTTTGAACAAAATTTTTGACCAAAAACAATACTGTATTGATGCCCCAGCCTCCATATTCGTCAGACATGCCTCTTTCTGACTTTTTCCTATTCCCAAAAATAAAGAGAACCTTAAAAGGCCGTCGTTTTGCAAGCATAGATGACATTAAAAGCGCATCGCTGAAAGAACTAAAGGCTATCCCAAAGAGTTTTAGAAGTGTTTCGAGTATTGGAAGAAGAGCTGGCACATGTGCATAATATACAATGGGGACTATTTTGAAGGCGACAACATTAATGTAGACAAATAAATAAATATTTGTTTCAAAAAACGAAAATTACCGATATTTTCTGAACACACCTCGTAACGCGAAACACAAATAACGTGCGAGATTTGGCAGTGCAATGAATAAAATTTGTCGAGTAAGTAAGCCTCCCTTTCTTTTGTGCAAAAACTACTTATTTATTTACAAACGATGTGCAGTTCGTATTCTTGACAATTCTTGAATTCACACAATGCTATTGAACACCACCAGATGGCGCGCGCGTTGCGAAAACCCGATGCTTCTTTAGCGTATAGCGTATTGAAGACCCAATGTAAATAAGATGTTGACGTGACATTAACGTTTACAAAATGAGTATTGTTAAATAATATAATTTTTATTTGAAAATTTGTATTTAGGCTTTGTTTTAAAACATTTATGTTAAAAGTAATGAATAGTGGTACTCTTGAAGCATTTAATTGCCTTTATTATCTAATTTATTAAATTAATTTTCTTAACAAGAATTACTTTATTATAAAGAATTACTTTGTCGTAAAATAAAGAATAAAAGATTTTTTTCCTATTGCGTGCTTCATTCGCGGAACATTGTATTTCAAAAAAATACGCTAACACAATTTTAATAAAGTTATTTTTTATCGTAAATTTTAAAACAACGTTTATCGTTTACAAACGGAAGTAGGCCCCAAAAACCTAAATACGAAACTTTTATCAGTCCCCTTAGCTTTGCCCCGCTAATACCCAAAAAAAGGTGCATTGTTTTCATCGCCAGTCACTCCCCAAAGTGTAAGCTATGAGCAACACGTGACAATCATATTTATCGCGCTAACATTAAAATCATGGAAGGAAAAACCAGCACGGAGTGGGCTCTGCTTTTCCCGCTGAAAGCCGGATTATTCTCGATGAAGTCGTCGACAGTGACGCGTTCCGCGGAGCGCATCAAGAAAAAACCGGCGAAAAACACCAACCACGTGAGACTGGTGATGCGTCGCGGATCCAGCATGTCGGATTTGGATAAGGTGGCCGCGAACGCTTTGCCGGACCTCGTCAGGTCCACCACGGCCAACCAGCACTTGTCCGCATCGCCCGCAAGCGTCCCGCATAGTCCCTACTTGTCGAGATCCTACATGAGCAGCCGTACGGTCAGCGTGCAGGGCAGCATCGGGGATCTTATGAACCAGAAAAAATACGGAAGCAGTCAGTGGAGCATAAGGAGTGAGACCTTGATTGCTCGTACTGTTCCTTTGTCCACTGTGACGCCGAGGCATTCTCCGCCTCCTTGCAGTGAGGATGGGATGTTTGAGGATGAGTTTGATGATGTTTCAGGACCTCTAACGGTGGCGCAAAGAACCCAAAGGCTGTCCAGGCTTATTAAGCAACAAAGGAGTAGCTTATCAAGGCGACATTATTTGGTACGTAATTAAAACTAACAATGTGATAACTATAAATAAAACCCTATTATTTTATATCAGTATTTACCAAATGTATTGTTTGAACTATGTGTCTTGAACCTGTAGTGGTTAAATTTACGAAAATGTACGCGGGTCCGTGGTTTCAAAAAAAAAACAAAAATGCCGAACCTGATAAAATAAAAGAAAAGTCTCCATTCAACAGTAAAATACCAAGAACCGGTATTATATTATGTATTATATATAATATAATGTTGCCATGAATTTGTAGGTGTATATAAAATGCAGTTGTCTGCATTCTTTTAGAAGCCTCAAATATAAAAATAATTAATTTTAAGGTTATGTTTGTACAACAATTATTTTTTGTTAGATTTCTTAAAAATGCACCAACAAAAATACCTACAGTATTGGATCCTTTTTTAAAACATAAAAATGCAACGATTTGGTTCTTGAATTACATTTGCAATTAAAAACACAATATTTCACCATGTCCACTTAGATAAAATACACACACTAACGTAACTATACAAGCATATAAGCGTTAAGTTTTTTAATTAATGATATAAGGAATATTAAATTGAAATCGAAAACTGCACTAAAGTTTTTTAGTTTTTACTTTTAACGCGAAAAAAAAACTTGCGCGATTTGGCAGTGCAATGAACAAAATTTGTTCTTTTGTGAAAAAACTACTTATTTATTTACAAATGATGTGCGGTTCGTTTATTTTAAATGTATTGTTGATAATTCTTTAATACACACAATGATATTGAACACCACCAGATGGCGCGCACGTTGCGAAAACACAATGCTTTTTTAGCGTATAGTGTATTGAAGACACATTGTAAATAAATATTGAAATTTTCATTTGAAAATTTGTATTTAGACTTTGGTTTGGTTTATAAACAACTTTGTTTTATAACATTTTGGTTAAAAGGAATAATGGTACTCTTGCAGCATTTAATTGCCTTTATTATCTAATTTATTAAATTAATTTTCTTAACAAGCATAACTTTTTATAAAGAATGACTTTGTCGTAAAATAAAAAATAAAGATTTTGTTCCTGTTGTGTGCTTCATTCGCGGAACATTGTATTTAAAAAAAATATTCCACTCAAACCTGGGTCAGGGTTGTGTTAATTATGCCCCCATTGTTCGCTAAAACAATTTTAATAAAGTTATTTTTTATCGTAAATTTTAAAACAACGTTTATCGTTTACAAACGGAAGTAGGCCCCAAAAACCTAAATACGAAACTTTTATCAGTCCCCTTAGCTTTGCCCCGCCAAGCCGCCAAAAAGGTGCATTGTTTTCATCGCCAGTGACTCCCCAAAGTGTAAGCTATGAGCAACACGTGACAATCATATTTATCGCGCTAACATTGAAATCATGGAAGGAAAAACCAGCACGGAGTGGGCTCTGCTTTTCCCGCTGAAAGCCGGATTATTCTCGATGAAGTCGTCGACAGTGACGCGTTCCGCGGAGCGCATCAAGAAAAAACCGGCGAAAAACACCAACCACGTGAGACTGGTGATGCGTCGCGGATCCAGCATGTCGGATTTGGATAAGGTGGCCACGAACGCTTTGCCGGACCTCGTCAGGTCCACCACGGCCAACCAGCACTTGTCCGCATCGCCCGCTAGCGTCCCGCATAGTCCCTACTTGTCGAGATCCTACATGAGCAGCTGTACGGTCAGCGTGCAGGGCAGCATCGGGGATCTTATGAACCAGAAAAAATACGGAAGCAGTCAGTGGAGTATCAGGAGTGAGACCTTGATTGCTCGTACTGTTCCTTTGTCCACTGTGACGCCAAGGCATTCTCCGCCTCCTTGCAGTGAGGATGGGATGTTTGAGGATGAGTTTGATGATATTTCGGGACCTCTAACGGTGGCGCAAAGAACCCAAAGGCTGTCCAGGCTTATTAAGCAACAAAGGAGTAGCTTATCAAGGCGACATTATTTGGTACGTAATTAAAACTAACAATGTGATAACTATAAATAAAACCCTATTATTTTATATCAGTATTTACCAAATGTATTGTTTGAACTATGTGTCTTGAACCTGTAGTGGTTAAATTCACGAAAATGTACGCGGGTCCGTGGTTTCAAAAAAAAACAAAAATGCCGAACCTGATAAAATAAAAGAAAAGTCTCCATTCAACAGTAAAATACCAAGAACCGGTATTATATTATGTATTATATATAATATAATGTTGCCATGAATTTGTAGGTGTATATAAAATGCAGTTGTCTGCATTCTTTTAGAAGCCTCAAATATAAAAATAATTAATTTTAAGGTTATGTTTGTACAACAATTATTTTTTGTTAGATTTCTTAAAAATGCACCAACAAAAATACCTACAGTATTGGATCCTTTTTTAAAACATAAAAATGCAACGATTTGGTTCTTGAATTACATTTGCAATTAAAAACACAATATTTCACCATGTCCACTTAGATAAAATAGACACACTAACGTAACTATACAAGCATAAGAACGTTAAGTTTTTTAATCAATGATATAAGGAATATTATATCGAAATCGAAAACTGCACAAAAGTTTTTTAGTTTTTACTTTTAACGCGAAAAAAAAACTTGCGCGATTTGGCAGTGCAATGAACAAAATTTGTTCTTTTGTGAAAAAACTACTTATTTATTTACAAATGATGTGCAGTTCGTTTGCTTTAAATGTATTGTTGATAATTCTTGAATACACACAATGATATTGAACACCAATATAAAAATAATTAATTTTAAGGTTATGTTTGTACAACAATTATTTTTTGTTAGATTTCTTAAAAATGCACCAACAAATATATCTACAGTATTGGATCCTTTTTTAAAACATTAAAATGCAACGATTCAGGATCTCTAAAACGGTGGCGCAAAGAACCCAAAGGCTGTCCAGGCTTATTAAGCAACAAAGGAGTAGCTTATCAAGGCGACATTATTTGGTACGTAATTAAAACTAACAATGTGATAACTATAAATAAAACCCTATTATTTATATCAGTATTTACTAAATGTATTGTTTGAAGAATGTGCCTTGAACCTGTCGTGGTTAAATTTAAAAAAATGTACGCGGGTCCGTGGTTTCAAAACAACAAAAATGCCGAACCTGATAAAATTATTGTAATTAAAAATAAAACTAATACTGTGGAACTTGAAAAGTCAAATTTGTCGGGTGCTGAAAGAATACAAAAAATTTCCAAGTTAATAAATTTAACGCAATTTCAAAAGTGTAAGAAAAATGTTAAAAGTAATACTACAAAAGAAATTACGGATGCAGAAGATACAAATAATGGCAATTATTCAATTCAACCTAAATTGGCCTCAGCAGAAAAAATACAGAAATTCACCTTGTTGATTAAGTTACATAAACATACCATATTATCCATGAAGCCACAGCAAGTATGTATTTTTATTTTAAAATTCAAACAACGTATCATAAAGTTATAATACAAATATTCCTATAAAATTAAGGCATTATGCAACCATGGTTGCTGACAAAATTTATTTATTTATTATTTACTTTTGTACTATAGACACTTGATTATATAAGTCATATTTGAATAACTGTCATGGCGAAAAAGCAGTCACTAATAATTAGTCAAATTCTACTGAATGAAATAGTCAAATTAGTAGATTTAAATTTAAAGAAGTTTTGACCCAGCCGGGGATTGTACTCAGGTCAAGCTTATCAAGCTGTTGTCATAACCAATGTGGCTATCAGTCGCTTCTATAAAAATCAATTTTATTTTTCAATAAATATGTTCATAATATTTTAGAGTTGGATATATTATTTGTGTTGCTGTTTTGCGCTAAACTTTTTGCATCTTTGTTTGTTTTTATGGGCTATTTAACCAAACGATTAAAGAAATTAGTTACTTTTAAGAAATAGTCAAAGATATTGAGTAATTTTAAATTAGTCAAACTTTAACTATTTACTTACTAAAAAATAACTATTTATAAGTGAAAACGACTAGTTTATTAGTAAAAAATGCTTCTACTAATTCAAATAGTAGAATTTTGACTATTCCATTTTAAGAGAGTACTTTGCATTTTACAAAGGTTTTGCGTTAAACTCTGTGGCTTTTTTGTTTTTAAAGATATACATACAAAAACCACGTTACAGAGTATAATAACTTATTTCTAGACCTATTTAATTTTAAATAAACGAAAAAAAAAAAATAAGTAAATATTAAATAGTAAATGTTTTCAAAATAAAAACTTCCTCTATTTAAATTAAAAATGTTAAAGATAAAACTAAGACTCACCTTAAATATGTTTTTTCTACTCCCACCTTTAAAACGCCCTTTATCGTACATGTTTCCATGACACTAAGTTACCTTTTAAATACACATTGACAAGTTGTGGCTTTACGGCGCTTTAGTCACGGGCTGAAGTTGGCAACAGGTTTTTAGTCACGGGCTGAAGTTATAACTATAGTTTTAAGTTAGTTGACAGTTGTCAAATGTCATACAATCGTTAAAATAAAGTGCCTTTCTTGTAAAATAATACTAAATGTGAAAATTATTTTATTATCTCAATACAAAAATTCAAAAATATTAAATAGTTTCTCAACGGCAATATTTGAAAAGTTTATATGAACATTGTACTGACCTTTTAATTTCGCCGGTAGTAAACTATAACTTAAATTCGGGCACGGACTCTACTGTAAAGTCCTCATAAAACATTTCCCTTACTTTCACTGTGAAAAACTGTAAATTTTCAAGATAAATTTCGATTTATAACCTTTATAATTGTGTTTATAAAATGTAAAAATGTGACATTTAACAGTTTTCCCTGTTGTTCATAGATGGCGCTCTATATAAATTTTTGATTTAAATCATTTTAAGATAATAATAAGTATTTGTCGTAGAAAAAGTATAGTATGCACCTCGTTTATAAACTTTTCTATACACTCATTAACTTAAGCACTCGCTCGCAAGCTCGCTCGTGCCTAAATTAAATTCGTGTATAAAATGACGTTTATCAAACTTGATACATAATATACTATTATGAATATAGTCTTTATAGTACCTATACCACTTCCCAAAAAATTTTTGGACAGTTTCCTAATTGTTTTAGTAAGTCTTAAATCCGGTATTTTT